GCCCCACCTCTGGAGGGCCCCTACTTCCTCAGGTGTCCCTTCCGCCTGGTGTGGACTCTTCCCCCAGGTCAGAGCGGATCTTTTGGGCCAGAGCCTGCCCGGAGGCCTTCCTTGGAGTGTGACTAGGCAGGCCTCCATGAGCTCAAAGGTCTAATGGGCCCGAATTAAATTAGTACGTACATCCCCGCCTTCGTTCCGCAGATATTTATCGACACCTGCTTTGAGCAATCGCGTGCAAGAGTACTGGTCCCTGGCCCAGGTCACACAACATACTCCAGCAGGGGCCGGGACTGTAACTTCTCCGAGGAAACGTGCCCTTTTTCTAACCTGCCAAAGTGCTGAACAGTGGTCAAAAGTCCCGATTTTTGGCGTTTTAAAAAAGTCCCAATTTTTGGAAAGAATGCACAACAAGCTAGGGAACGGTCTATTTGGTCCACATAGACCAAATTTTTAATCAAGACCAACCCCACCCCCCAGGTCAATGGTGTTCCACTTTAAATCTGGTCATCTTACCCGACACTGACCCCCGGCAAGACCCTAAGTGCTCACCATCAAGTGAGAGAATGAAAAAACCCAAACCCATGGCCATCAATTCTGACTCATAGTGACCCTACAGGGCAGAATAGATCGGTTCCCTGGGATGCCATTTCTATGGGGCCAGAAAACCTCTGTCTCCCTTAGAGCAGCTAGTGAATTTCTACCTGCTCACCTTGTGGTTAGCAGCACCACCAGGGCATTTATTGAGCACCTACGACGTGCCTGGCAATATTCTAGATGCTTAGGCTTTACCCAGAGTCAGTAAAGCTCTGACACTAGCAGCCAATGGAAGGCACTGCTGACCCACCATCCACACTCTCCTGCCCTAGCCTTGTGATCAGGCTTTCTTCAAGGGTCTGCCCCCTAATGCCTGCTTTGTAATCTGAAATGCTAACCCCTCTGCCGTTGGCAGAAGCTACCAGTGACACCTTAGGGCCCAGGACAGAACCTCCTGTCCTATTTGCCTCCCGTGCCCCCCTTCCCCAAAACCATGGGGCACCATTTGGGCCGGGAGCACTTTATTTGTCTGCACACTGAAGGATGGGTTAGGAGAGCACTGCTGTTCTTCCAGCAGGAGAGGGTGACGTGGGGAAGCCCTAGGAATGGCAGCTCCGAAGGTGGTGGTCTTCAGGCCACAGGGAACCTGGTCGGGGTTGGGGGGGGGGGTGGTCCAGGACAATGCCCCATGCACTCATCCAGGGCCCATTCGGAGTTCATCTTACCCCAGCTTCTCTGGCTCGCTCTGGGCAGGATTCAAGGGGTTCTCTGGGGAGCCCAGCCTCTCCCTGGTACCCATCCAGCTTTGGGGGCTTCACTGACATGAGGATAGTCTAAATCCAGCCTCGACCCCACCACACCCTAGGTGGGCTTATTTCAGACAAGGCTTCTGCTTCTAGGCCAAAGTTAGTAGCTCCTCAAAGTGGTGAAGTGGAGGACAGAGCCACAGAGGCTGCCTCTGTTTCCCAGGTCTGTCTGAGTAGCAAGCTCCGCTCTCAGCATGAACACTGTCCTGGGCAGCTATCAGCTGGCCAGACACCCCGCCTGATTCTGCTCCAAGCTCACCCCCCTCCACCTCCGCCTCAACAAGGTCCCAGGTAAAGAAGGCAAAAATACAGAGCTAGAGTGACCTCTGAGCTCAGAGACCCTCTCACGGGAGCCAGGGGGAGGACCCCCATCTCCCCAGCCTCAGTGGTCCTGTCTGTTAAAGGCCCCCCCCCCCCCCAATGCAGGCCTCCTAGCCATCATTTGGCCCAATAACTCAGGTGGGTGGAGAGCTGGCCCCCAGAGGAGGCAAGGGCTGCACAAACCGTAAGGTGCTGCGAAAGAGCAGCAGCTGGGGGTGCAAGGGTGACTACAGGGCTTGGGAGAGCCCAGCCCCCACCTCTCCTTCCCAAGCCTGGCAATTCCCTGACAGCAATTTACCAATATGGGTTTGGCCGGTGGGGGCTTGGGGGTGTCAGGGCAGCGGGGGCCTGATGGTGATGCTGCTGTTGGTGACCCTCGGACCGTACCAGCCGGCCCAGTAACGAGTGTCCACACCGCCGTGCTGAAACCAGATATAGCGGACACCGGGCGGGTAGTTGGAGAATGTGTGGGAGACCTGGTGGGGGGCAAGGAGAGAGAGGGAGGAAGGTCAGGAGAGCAGATCCTAAGGTAAGAGTGAAATGCGCTTCTCACCACACACCCGAGTTGATGTCAACTCGCGACTCATAGGGACCCTAGACAGTAGAACTGCCCCTGTGAGTTTCAGAGAACACACTCTTTCTCCCTTGGAGAGGCTGGTAGTTTTGAACTGCTGACCTTGCCGTTAGCAGCCAAGGTGCTCTGATGCTGGAGAAAGAGCACTGGACTCGGAGTCAGCGGAATGGAATTTCAGTCCTAGCCCCAGGCCGCAATTTCCTCATCTGTAAAATGGAGCACTGTCCTGCCAGGTCCAGTCTGCAGAATGAGCTGCAGGTGAACAGAGCCGAAGGGAGCCCTGCCACCTGCCTAAGGATAGTTAGACCCGTCGTGTCCACTGTGGCTGTCTCTGACCAGTGTGAAAAACTCATTAAAATGGCTTACACACACACTCACACACACACACACAGCGTCAATAGTCACACACAGCTGCTGGACTGTACAGCAGACACTACAGACACTAGACCTGCCTGTCATGGCAGAAAGTTCTATCAGACAGTGCTGCTGGTCTAGACTAGGGCCTGACAAATTTTGGGCACTGGGCTGGCTGTTGATTTTTATCAGCATCACTGACATAGTGTCCAAGTCCCCTTTAATGCTGCAGCTGCAGAGTTCAGTTATTGGGATCCAGACAAAGTGGCCAGCAAAACCTACCATGGTTACAGATGGCCCTTTAAGAACACGGTGGTGACCCCTAGTCTAGAAAACAGTAAACCTTCTGGACATTTGTTTGGGCTGAGTTTGAGTCACACCATTCCACTGAACGAAGATCAGAACTGAAGTCTGGGGTGGGACGGGGAAATTGGTCTGGCTGGATTGGAACACAGACCTGCCTGGCTGCAGTCTCCCAACCGGACCCACACACCTCCCTCCACTTGGCATCGCTCTTTTGCTGGATCATCATGGGGTCAGGCTGGAAGGTTCCCAGGGGTGCATGCGCCGACGAGAGGAGCTGAACGGACAGCTGGTACTTGGATCCACAGTCCGGCCTGGCTGCAAACCTGAAAGTGGACAGTGGGGGGCGGGCAGGGTATGGAGGGGTGCCAGAGTGGGGGGCCCCACCCCAGGCACTCACCAGTCCTTGACTTCAATGTCCGGCCGTGTGGTGTCCATCAGCTCCTCCCAGTACCCTTCAGCCTTGAGGTCCACCACTTGGGACTTGAGGCAGGTGCTGGAGGTGGGCACAGGGGTGGGAGGGGTTGAAGCACACTAGGGGACTGGGGCAAGGACCAACTTTCCCCAGGGGTTGGAAGAAACTCCAGGGGGTAGTGATTTGGGCTCCCCACCCCCACTAGACCCAGCCTAGATCTTACTAATAAGACGTCACGAAGTATTTCTTGACCTGACCATTGGGAAATTCCTTCCTCTGGTCTCGAGAGAGATCCTCCACCTTCCACTCGTCGCCACCATTCACGTCCAGGCTCCAAAACTCAAACCCCTCTAGCAGGAAAGCAGAGCTCACATGGAAAGAAAGCTTCTGGTGGCAGCCTGCTCCCACGTGCCCCCTCCTCCCTGTCCCTCTCCTTTTATCTCCCCAGCTGCCCTTGAGTCATGTGCTGGTGGACACCACAGATCAACAGTGCCACAGCGTCTGTCTCCTACATGCCAGGTCACATACAAAGTGATTTCCATGGAGATCTGTGATGGCATTGGGGAATGCTCTAACCTGGACCAGACGGCCCTGGGCCCTAGTATCAGTCCTACCCTTGCCAGGCTGAGTGACCTTAGGTATGTCACTTGCCCTCTCTGGACCTTGGTTTTCTCCTGCAGAAACTGGGGTCAAGTTAAGGGCCAGCAGTAAATATTGTAGGCTTTAGGGAGCACATACCGTCTCTACTGCTTAACTCCCCTGCCAACGAGTTGTGGACAGCTTGGAAGGGTCATTTCCTCATTCCTATGCCCCAGGATTTGGTCATGTGATGGGTGACTATTTACAGTGTCGTTGATGAGTCCCTGCCCAACAGGGGAAGACTGGGTTCTGTTGCTGTGACCACCTTGCTTAACTGTAGCTGTGACATGTGAGGCACCTGCTCTTCCACAAGCAGAAGCCCCCTGGCCCTCTGGGAGCATCAAAGCAGTTCAAGCCCTGGAATCTGGGATCTAGGCCAACCCAAGACGGTTCTAACTTCCTGGTCTTGTGTCTTGGGCACAATTAGTCCCAGCCAACCTTCCCTTTTGTGGGAAAAGTCATGGAGGAAATAATCTTAGGAGTGGAATAATTTTTAAAAGGCTCTGCTTGGCCTCAGCTTGCCTGTCTGAAGAAAGGGTATGCTAACAGTGCCTACCTTTTAGGGTTATTGGGAGACAATTAAAGAAGTCAAATCATCCCACTGATTAGCCTGGTGCCCAAACCCACAAGAAACCACATCGAGTTCGTTCTGGCTCATGGCAACCTCTTGTGCTACGGAACAGTGAATGCTCCCTAAGGAATTCAACCGCTGGGAGCTTTCACAGGTAGACTGCTAGGCCTTTCTTCTGCCAGGTGCTCCTGGGTGGCTTGGAGTCACCAGCCCTTGGTTAGTAGCCAAGAGCTTAACTGTTGGCACTACCCAAGGGCTCATAGTAAATCCTCAGCAAATGTTAGCTGGCATCATGACTGGGGGGTGGGGTCAAGGCGGGGCTGAGCCACGCTGCACCCCACCTTCAGCGCACGGGTTGTGCAGGAGGTTCCGGTGGAGGCTGCGCAGGAAGTAGAAGATCTTCCAGTCGGCCACCGGCTGGTCCCAGTGCTCAGTGATGAAGCCGTCGCGCAGACACTTGCGCTTCCAGAGGGTCACAAGGTCGATGAGGTCCCGCCAGAGGCTGCAGACCAGGCGGCAGCGCAGCAGCAGTTGGCGGGCCGGCAGGTGCGTGAACAGCTCCAGGAGGATGTTCTCCGGCAGCTCGTTGATGTTCTGCACGGCCATGGCTGCTGGCTCCAGACACCCTCCTACGGTCATGGAAAAGCTTGGCTAAAGGTGGAGTCTCCACCCCCCGCCCCCTAAAAGACCCAGGGGTGCAGCACCCGTGTGAGTCATTTACTAGCTCAGGACCATCATTGGTGTCTCTCTAAGCCGCGGTTTCCTCTTCTGTAAAATGGCGCCACGAGTAATAACCCCTTGAGCTCAACAAACCAGGTGCTCAAGCAAAGGTGAGCTCTCATGTTCTCACTGCACCACACTGAGGCTTCTGGGAGGCTTTGGGGGGCCTGGAGAGGTGATTAAGACCTGCCCAAGGTCATACAGGCAGGGCAAGGGGCAAAGGGGCTGACCGTGCTCCCGTCCAAGGTGATCACAACCTGCAGCTAGACGGAGCTCTCCAGCTGGCCCGGGCTGCTTCTATTCTGGTCCCCCCTAAAACGCAGTGAGGGAAAGAGGGCGCTGTGGGAGGGGGCTTTCATTACCCGGTTCTCCGGTGGAGATGCAATGGGTTCCGAATCCTTTCTCAAACTCACAGGGGTAGTCTGGCAGACTGGAGAGTGGGAGGGCGATGGGGAAGGGCCTTTGCCACCGGGATCCCTACCCCCACGCCTACGCCCCTGGCTGGCTTCAGTCCCATGTCGCCCTGCGCGCCACCACGCTGTGCCTTTAAAATGCACCCTCCCCAAGGTCAGGACTCATGCCCCTGCGCCTCGGTGGGGCGACCCAGGCTAAATTCCTGCCCTCGCCAGCGCAGCAGCCTGGGCCTTGCCCACGCCGGGCGCTCTCTGAGCCCTGCGGAGCGTGCGGCAGCGACGAGCCGGCTGGCTGTCCTGCCAAGCTGCGCCCTAGTCCTAGCGCCCCGGTGTCCCTCTCCTACCGGTCACCAGCGCTGCGCGATCCCGC